CTGGAAGAAAACCGGTAGACATGTCACGACCTCCTGGTCAAGAGAATCTCGTTGCTTGGGCTCGTCCACTGCTCTCGTGTGAAGAAGGAGTGGAAGCAATAATAGATCCATCTCTAGGACCCGATGTACCTTCTAATAGTGTGGCTAAAGTTGCAGCCATTGCTTCGATGTGTGTACAACCAGAGGTTTCGGACCGTCCCTTTATGGGCGAGGTTGTTCAGGCTTTAAAACTAGTGTGCAATGAATGTGATGAGGCAAGAGATGCAGGCTCAAGTTCTACCTCTGTTGATTTGAGTCATTCTAGACAAGTATCAGATAATTTCCAAGGCCAATCCTCAGCCACCAATTATGATTCTGGAGTTGATATTGAAAATGGCTTGTTGAGATCCGAGTTATTCAGCTCATCATCGGCAAGATATGGTAGGAGAGTATCAGGATCATTTAGAAGACATTCTTATTCGGGTCCTCTGAGTACTGGAAGAAGCAAACGGTTATGGCAGATAATTAGAAAGCTTTCTGGAGGTAGTGTCAGTGAACATGGAACTATGTTCAAGTTGTGACCAGGTTTCAGTTGAGCCAAATTGCAATTTAAACTTTCTATGTGCATGCTCCTCTCCCTCACTTTGTTATTGTGTGGTTCAAAACTCTGCTAGAGGCATTTCTCTTCTCTGCCCGAACCCTTTGAAGTTTGACAAGAGAATACAAGCAAGTTGTAAATAGGTTTTGACATGTTTTTCTGCTAACCTACAAAATCGTGTATGTAACTGGTACTAACTCTTTGAATAGAGGAAGCAATGCAAGTCTAGCTTGAAAATAGAAGATGACTGAAGATGGCCTTTGCTAAGACCAATGGCAAATACAACAAAGTATAGTCTTTGCAACTGCAGCATCAGTAATGTAATGTTCAAATTGTCAGAAACCCACATGTATTTAGAGGAGGGGATGGAATGGAATCTGGTTGAGCCTATTACATGCTTCCCATTGATTTACTTTCTGAATAAAATCTATATTCAGTCTTCTGCAATCAAACCATTGTAGAATTCCATTATTAAGAAGATTATATAACATTTACTCCCTAATAAACTCTACAATAATGAGACTCTCTATCACCTTATTAGATCATTTGATACAAGAAATCATTTAGAAATCCTATCTAATGATTTCACTTGAGACACCTTTGCTCAAACATACAACCTCTAAAATGGAAACACAAGAACCAACCATTGATTCTTTTACACAAATTTGTAAGAAAGAAAATATAAAGTCTAAAAGATGGAGAAGCATAAAACTCGATTTAAACATTCTTTTATTAGAGAAATAAACTAGTTCAAAAGACTTCTTGTTTAATTTTCAAATAACTCCACTCAAACTTCTGCATATGTAAAATTGAATTATGTCATAGTTTTTTATCATTTTGAATTTTTTAGTATTTATTTAAGAATATTGCTTGTAATTTATTATCTTCAGTATAATCAATTATTGTTTAAATATAATTCACTGTTATTCTAAATGTTTCACATTTATTATTTATTCTCGTATTTAGTTGGGGTTGATTTTGGATGCAATAAATTCTCCACAACCCAAGACATTTTAGAAAAACATTATTTTCTATATTCAAAATTTTCAAATTCAACTTTATCCATCTTTACTAATTTATTCAGAGTAAAAAAATTATACTATTTATAAAAAAACATATAAAATCTCATTCACATGCACAATTTGTATGCAACTCTAATTATTCATAAATATTTACTTAATATTATATATCAAAATAGAAAAATGTATAGAATAATAAAAAAATTACAAAAAAATATTTATACATTTAAAAAGAAAGAAAAATTAATAGAAAAATATGATATATATTAAAAAAAATTAAAAAGATAATTATTTTAAAATTAATAATATAAAAATGTGGAGGATAATTCAACTGGATGTGTTTTCATTTGTATACATAAATCAAATTTTATTAAATGTTATTAAAAAATATATATACCCAATTCTGACCTGAATGTTAAACAGCTTTATTTGGGTAAAATAAAATCTTATGAAAGTGTTTATATATATATATATATATATATATATATATATATATATATATATATGCTTTTTTTACATTTTTATTTATCTGGGTGGCCTTTTATTTTTGTTTTGACTTTGAGGCTTTGAAGAAGAAAAGAGGAGAGAGAGAGAAGAGTGAGAGTTTGAGAGGGAGCAGAGTGCGAACTCAGATGGAGACTACTCCGCAGCAAGGTGTGGTGAAGAAGAAGGAGACAAGGGGCAGAAAACCTAAGCCCAAGGACGATAAGAAAGATGAACACTCGAAGACGCCGAAGGAAAGAAAAACGCAGCAATATCAGCAACAGCAGCTGCAACAACAACAACAACAACAACAACAACCTTCGGTGGACGAGAAATACACGCAATGGAAGTCCCTCGTCCCTGTTCTCTACGACTGGCTCGCCAACCACAACCTGGTTTGGCCCTCTCTTTCTTGCCGGTAACACTCTTTCTCTCTCTAGGGTTTTCTCCTTTCCTTTATTTCTAATCGTGAAAATCTAATTTTTTTAATGCTGATTTTGGTTTTTCAGGTGGGGCCCTCAGCTGGAACAAGCCACCTACAAGAATCGTCAGCGTCTCTACCTTTCCGAGCAGGCAACGCAACTGAACACTCTTTTCTCTTTTTCTTGAAAAAGTTAATCTTTCTAATTTGTTGAGTGATGGGAGTTAGTTTTGTTGTGTCCTTAGGTTAGTGTAAGGCCTTTGTTGGATTTTGTGGTTGATTGCAATAGAGGGTGGAAGAGTGTTTTTTGTGAAAAAAGTTGATTTTTGTTTTCGTTGGTAGACTGATGGTAGCGTCCCCAATACTCTGGTCATTGCAAATTGCGAGGTGGTGAAGCCTAGGGTTGCGGCTGCAGAGCACATTTCTCAGGTGAATTATTGTTTATGATTGTTATCGTTGTGTTTTTGGTCTGAGCTTTTAAATTGGATTCGTGACTGTAGTTTCGGCTACAAGGTGAAAGGATTTTTGTCTTCATGACTGCTATTGTGGCCACATTTTTCCACACTTTAACTAAGGAATGCTACATAATTTCGATTGCTGTTTAAAGCCTTGTTCATATTTTTTAATGATTACCTTGGTGTTTAAAATTTTGTTAAGCTGATAATAATGTTTCTTTTACCACTTTCAGTTTAATGAAGAGGCACGATCCCCGTTTGTGAAGAAGTTCAAGACCATCATACATCCTGGCGAGGTATATATATGTATTTCTTATAGTTTACATTGATGGATGGGTTAAAAATTGGATGCATTTGAAGCATGTATGAACAATGAAGAAAGGATAATAACTGTGTTCCTTAATGTGCCTTCGTTTTTATTTTTTGTTTATTTATGGCTACTCATCATCAGTGGTATATATTTTGGTTGGGATTCTTTTTTGGATGAACAGATCAGAGTTTGATCTGAAATGGCTTATTTTGTAGGTGAACAGAATTAGGGAATTGCCACAAAATTCCAAGATAGTGGCTACACATACAGACAGCCCTGATGTAAGAACTTTACCGTTTACAGTTTGCTTTGCTTTTGTGGTTCCTTATATATAACTTTTTCAATATCAGGTCCTTGTTTGGGATGTTGAAAATCAACCTAACCGTCATGCTGTCCTTGGAGCTACGAACTCTCGTCCCGATTTGGTATGACTGGGCTTTTAATATTGCATAAATACTTCCATCTCAAAAAAATTAATGTAGTTTTGAATGAGAAAAAAATGAAGCAGATTAATGCTCCTCTCTATTTATTTTGTTAGAAACATGATCTTCCTATCTTATGTATAGGATCGTCTTGTCTGAGTCAGATTATGCTGCAGTTTCATTTCATTACTGTATTGAATACTTTTCTTAATTTTATTAGGGTATGGCTTCATTGAACAGGAAATTTTGGTAACATTATTGGGGCTAGAACAGGCCCTGGGTGCAAAAGTCTATGATCCACCAATATGATCTGATATGTATCTGATGGTACTATTCTTCAAAAGCCATGGGACATGATACTTTTGTGGTTATAATGAACTTAAGAGAGGGTATAGCATTGTCAGGGCTAGAGCAGGCCTTAGGTGCAAAAGCCTATGATGCATATACATGATCTGATATGCATTTGATGTGGCTGTTCCTGAAAAAGTGAGATGCAGCATTTTTATGATGCATAAGTAGATATGTGTGTGCGACGTGTTACAGCTGGCAGTGGACACCGTGAGCAGATATGAGCCAGCAGTCTAGAATCCTAGAGAGCTGACCCCAGGGACCCAAGGATTCCCCAAGAGGTTGTGAATAGACGGACGACGATCTAGTGGGTGACCAAGCTTGTGAAGAAGAACGGGGCAGCAACAGCACACTGCTACAACTTCTATGTGGCTATGTCAGAGAGGTCCATGCTGGCTGGGACCGGGTCAGGTGCGGACATGCTGAGGAACTCCTTCGCCCTTAAGAAGTTGACAGCATCCCTCTTGCATTTACCGCTGGACACGAGCCAATTAGTTTTATGTTGGAACCTTAACATATCCGGAGTCATACCTCTTAACTTCCCTGATGCTAGTTGGTATGCAGCACATGCAATGTAGGCATCAACATGTTTCATGGCATAGTTGGGATTCATGTTGTGGATTGTAGCAGTGTGTTTCTGCTGCCCCGTTCTTCACAAGCTTGGTCACCCACTGGATCGCCTCCATAACATAAATCCCAACTATGTCATGAAGCATGTTGATGCCTACATTGCATGTGCTGCATACCAGCTGGCATCGGGGGAGTTAAGAGGTATAACTCCGGATGTGAAGAGGAAGGTGGCCATATGCTTGGGAGTTGCTCGAGCCGTGACAATTGCTTCTTCACCTCTGGAGTCATACCTCTTAACTCCCCCGATGCCAGCTAGTATGCAATGTATGCATCAACATGCTTCATGGCATAGTTAGGATTCATGTCATGGAGGTGTGTCCGCACCCGACTTGGTCCTAGCCAGCATGGACCTCTCTGACATAGGCACATAGAAGTCGTAACAGTGTGCTGCTGCTGTCCCGTTCTTCTTCACCAGTTTGGTCACCCACTGGATCGCCGTCCACAACATGAATCCCAATAATGCCATGAAGCATGTTGATGTTAACATTGCATGTGTTGCATACCAGCTGACATCGAGGGAGTTAAGAGGTATGACTCCAGACATGTTAAGGTTCCAACAGAAAACCAATTGGCTCGTGTCCAGCGGTAAATGACAGCAAGAAGGACGCTGTCAACTTCTTGAGGGCGAAGGAGTTCCTCAGCGTGTCCGCACCTGATCCAGTCCCAGCCAACATGAACCTTTCTGACATAACCACATAGAAATTGTAGCAGTGTGTTGTTGCTGCCCCGTTCTTCTTCACAAGCTTGGTCACCCATTGGATTGTTGTCTGCCTATTCACAACCTCGTGGGGAATCCCTGGGGTCAGCTCTCCAGGATTCTCGACTGCTAGCTCGTATCTACTCACAGTGTGGTATCAAAGCCTAACATTTTTCCGGTTATTATCTTGGGCCAAGAGTTGCCCTTTCATTGTGGGTCAAAAGTACCCTTTGCCTGGTCCAGCAGGCTTCGTTGAAGGAGACGTGTTGAAAATCCCTCATCGTCTACCTCATGTCATTTGGTATGGTTTAAATACATGTTAGGCTACTTCACATATTGTCAATTGGTTTTATGTTGGAACCATAACATGGTATCAGAACCAAAGCCTAACATCTTTCCAATTATTGTCTTGGGCCAAGAGTTGCCCTTTCTTTGTGAATCAAAAGTACCCTTTGCCTGGTTTGGCCGGTTTCGTTGGAGGGGATGTGTTGAAAATCCCACATCGTCTGCTTCATGTCATTTGGTATGGTTTAAATATATGTTAGGCTGTTTCACATATTGTCAATTGGTTTTATGTTGGAGCCTTAACAATGTGTAAATAGTTCATAAAAGACTAATTATATAATTGAAATTCGTAAAATCCAAATTAAAATTTATGAAATATCTGTTTTTACAATAAACAAACAAAAGTCAATCCAGGATGTCATGGTCTGTATGCCCATGCTTAAGTGTCTGACTGGTGCTAGCATATACGTGTTTGTTGCCTTGTAATGACTGGGAGGGATCGACACAGTTTCCTCTTAATAAAAATGACTTGGATATATATGACATCCCCATGTATTGATATTATATATATATATATATATATATACACACACACACAAACACACTATCCCATACCTGTATTTAATGTGAAGACCTAAGAGAATGCAACATGCATCCATTCTTATTTGGGAAAAGCATGGACATTCAAATGAATAAGATAGCATTTGCCCCACCACTTTGAAATATGTGGTCACCTTCTTTAGTTCCGTTGAGTTATCTATTATTCAAGAAGCTCCTAATGCAACATTATTGTTTCTAGGTTTGTTATTTGGCATGTATGCTGCTTATATTCACATATAATTTCTCTTGCAGGTACTGACTGGACACCAAGATAATGCAGAGTTTGCTCTTGCAATGTGCCCAACTGAGCCCTATGTTCTTTCAGGAGGTTAACTTTAAACAATTAGGTTATTAAATGCATGTTTAATTCTTGATCTGGTTATTTTATATCTGAAAGAAAGAATTTACATTTGCAGGAAAGGACAAAACGGTGGTATTGTGGAGTATTGAAGACCATATAACATCTGCTGCTACAGGTGGATCAATTATCAAGCCAAACTCTAAATCTGGCGAAGGCAATGATAAAACTGCTGATAGCCCTTCTGTGGGACCACGAGGTATCTACTGTGGGCATGAGGATACTGTTGAAGATGTGACTTTCTGTCCATCTAGGTAATTTGCCTACTCTGAGTAGCTTCTGCTGTATTTCACCATGAAATGGCTATTCTTATTTTACTGTTCACATTGTGAAATTAGTCATTATTTCGTTTTATTGGTTATGAGAGAAAATGAAAGGAGGGAAGTTGGCAGGTTGAGAAAATGATCAAATTATACCATTTTTTTTTTGTTTCGTGGCAGAGAGAAAAAGTTGTGGGACCTGCATAAATATTTTCTCTCCTTGTGAGAGAAGATTATTAATTGTTCAACATAAATACATTTTTTCCTTTCCACTTTTCTTTTCAACCTAACAAGAGGAAGGAATATTTGTATTTTTCTCTTCTTCCAAACAATTGAAGGGAACATTTTTTTTTCTTTATTTTCTTTCCTTCCATTTATTTTTGCACATTTTCTCGCTGCATCATCCAAACAAAGCATTAGGGTATAGTCTAGGATGTCCTTTGCTCTTCCTCGTTGATTCCTTACTATTTATTATTAATTAATTTATATCTGTACCTTTCTTAATATATTTTGAAAGATGAGGGGGAATGCTGTTCTATATTTTCATTTTTAAATTTTGTGTTTGAGGGATCTAGTATATTTGTACTTATAGTAGCAACATAAACTAAATACTATATTTGATAATTAACCATATCCTCCTGGCATCATTATGGTCATGCTGAAGCGCACAGGAGTTCTGTAGTGTTGGAGATGATTCTTGTCTCATCTTATGGGATGCACGTGTTGGGTCTAGCCCTGTGGTTAAGGTATATGCTTTATACTCCAATCATGTATTTAAATTTGTTTTAGGTTTTATGTTTTCTGAACTGAACCTTTTTACTTTTAGATTTCATTTTACTCCAAACTTGTTGGATTAGGAGTATGCCATATCATTGAGCTTTTGTCAGCTCGGAAAACATGCACCTCTATTTTAAAGTATTCATGTTCATAACCCTTATACACACTGTATCTTTGTATGTTTTTACTTTATTTTGAAATATTCATATCCACAATAACCCTTACACACGGTATCTTTGTACTCTGCCATGAATTTGGTAACAGGTTGAAAAGGCTCATAATGCTGATCTTCATTGTGTTGATTGGAATCCACATGATGATAATCTGATCCTAACTGGGTATGTTCTGCTGTTTTATAGTTCTCATTGTCATTAATTCATCATTTAGTTTTGCTTGGACATGACCTTTTTATCATATATAATGTACAGATTGATGAAGATTCACATCCCTATTTTACTTGTCCCCATATATCTACAGGTCAGCAGATAATTCTGTTCGCATGTTTGATCGCCGCAATCTCACCACTAATGGAGTTGGGTCTCCCATCCATAAATTTGAGGGTCACAAAGCTGCTGTTCTCTGTGTTCAGGTAATTTTTAACATGGCTTTTTGTTTTTGAATAATTCTTCATTTGTCTTGGCATTATATTGTTATTATACTATAATATATGATAATCAATTTTTGTTTAATTCAGTGGTCTCCGGACAAATCATCTGTATTTGGGAGTTCAGCTGAGGATGGTCTCTTGAACATTTGGGACTATGAGAAGGTGCAATTTCAGTCACTAGTTTCATGCTATTTTCTTGTCCCAGAAACAATATTTGGTAGCTCACAATGCCTCCTGCTTTTTTTTCTCTGCAATGTAGGTTGGTAAAAAGATAGAGCGATCTGGAAAATCAATTAATTCTCCTCCAGGGTTGTTTTTCCAACATGCAGGGCATAGGTATAAATCTTGTTTTTTTTTTGGCTTCATTTACTACCTTTGTTATTTCAATCATATAGTTGTAATAAACTTCTATCCGTTAAAATTTTTAGCCAGGCCGAAAACATTATCATTCAAATCTGAACCTCATTATTTGTTTGTCGTCTGGTGTGGCTCCGAAGTTTCATATGATACATTACATGATCTTGAGTTTTTCTTTGATGCTTATGTTGCCTGATTCCTTATTATAAATGTTGTCTGTTAATTCCCATGACATCTTTTGGTAGTATATGGTAAAATAATTAGTGAATTAGTAGGGGGCTTAGATAATTGGAGAAATATTTGGGAGGGAGATTGAGGGTGATTTTATCTAATTTCTGTTAATAGAAGTTTGTATATATAATTCTGATCCAGTTTGTGTCAATATCAAATATAAATACCATAAAACAATAGTGTGTCCCTTGTATATTTATACCAGTGATTTTTTCCTTGATAGTAATAATCATGTCCTTTACTATCAATTATGGGCTGTTGTTTGCAAGATTGCAATATCAAAGGTTGCATAGCAATTCATGTCATCCTCCTGCAACTTTCTTCTCACTGTTCCTTTTTATAAATTGTTCATTCCATATTTTGGAAGGCAGTCAAATAATACTGGATTTGTTCTCAAGAATGCAATTCTTTATTTATTTTTTAAATATTTATGTAACACCTCTACCCCACCCCAAATATTTATGCAATTCTCAAGAACTTTGTATTTCAATGCAGAGATAAAGTAGTTGACTTTCATTGGAATGCATTTGATCCATGGACAATTGTTAGCGTGTCTGATGACTGTGAAAGTACTGGTGGAGGGGGGACATTGCAGGTATGAAAAACATTTTTCAACTTAATAGACTAAAGAAATTGGCTATTTATGTCATTTTCTTATAATTGAAGATTTCTACTTTTGGAAGTATCTTGCCAGTGGTATGATATAATTTGTTTGTTAAGTTGAGGTTCGACCCAGGATGATGTGCTCACAGTAAAGCAGATTCAGGGCTGGCATGAATGAGGCAGTGGCAATACTGTTTCTTTCTCTTTTCTGATTTCTCTGCCATTTTGACTTTTGTTATTTTTAATTTGAATGATTGTCATGTGAATCAACCAAATCAAACCAGTTAACACTACCAGGTTGTGTGCATGACATTTCTGAATAGTTTACGTGGACTCCTTAATGAAATGGCTCACTGGTTGGACTGACTACTCTGATATTTCAAGTTCAGTAACTAGTAATGAATATCTTTTAATGTCTGATCTGCTCAAACTCATTTGTGCAGATATGGCGCATGAGTGATTTAATCTACAGACCAGAAGACGAGGTATTGGCCGAGCTGGAGAAATTCAAATCTCATGTGGTGGCTTGTGCTTCAAAGTCTGAAAAATGATTTAATTGCTGGCAAAATGAGTTCAGTTATTCTTGCTGTTGTATTTTACGTAATCTATATTTGCGGTGCATGTTTCTCAGCATTTTAAAACCACCCACATGTGGCTCGAGTAGGGAAAACTTAGATTAACATAGAACTGACGAGGGATTGTGGTCTAGTGTTCCTTAAATTTTACTGTTTCTGTTCATGAACCTCTCACGTGGCTCCTGGCAATTTGTATGTGCACCTGTTCAATCCTCCAACCACTGAACTGAATATACATTATTAATTCATGATCCTCTACGGTTGGCCAATTGGATGCATTGCTTGTTTCCATGTCTAGCATATAACTTAATTGGCGTGTGTACTCATAGCTAGATGAAAGTACAATGCAGGTAATATAGATTCTGTCGATATAGATGGTGCTACTATCAAATAACAATTTATCACAAACTTTATTTTCAACTCGATTATAAACGAATGAGTTGAACTCAATTATAGTTTTGACATGAAAAGTTCATATGCAACTTTAAAATACCTTGTGAATATTTTTCAAAAATTTGACATTATCTGGTTTTCACAAATTAGAGACAAGAAAGTATAGTTACTCGTGCTTATAACACTTCTGTTGTAATGTAATATATAAAATTATAGTATGAGTTACGACTTGGTAGCATGATTCTCTAATATTATGTCAAATCACCTATTTTAAACCATCTTTACCTTGGCATACAAATTTTACTCTCGTCTTCTAGATCCAAATCAAGGGGCATGTTACTCTGCAGGGACATCTGTTCCCAATAAGTTAAATATTTTAGAAATTTTAGTACTTTATTCTTGATTTTCAATTATTTGAAAGAGGTTGCCTTGGGTTATATTATTATTAATTCTAGCATTAGAAAATATTTGGAAAGAAAATCATCTTCACACTAAGTACTTGATGAATGTAGAAATAGAACATTGACCCATCTTCAACAAAAGTTTTTGAAATTTGACTTGAAAAACTACCGTTTATATTCTTGATTTATCGTAAAAAAAGGATTATCATCCAAATATAAGAGATAATATTAGGAAATTTTGTTTGTAAAAAAAATTCTCGTCAACCAAGAGATTATTTTTTTTCTTCTAAATATAATTTATTAATTCATAAATTTAATCCAAATCAATCAATATTTTAAGTATTGTATCTCGTTAAAGTGTAATGAAGCGGAGAATTTAACCTATCTTTTATATTTTTATCTTAATTTTATTTTTATAACCTTAAGCCTACATTTCTCTTATAGGCGAAAATATATTTTTGACCTTTGTTTCTTTTTCGGTTTCCAAAATTTTAAAAAGTATATTTTGATTGGTCAAAGCATCTCCATTAAGCATTTGTTATTTTGGTTTAATAAAATTTGTCATGAATGTCAAAATTAATATAGTTAATACAAAAAATTGAGGGAAAAACTAATTTGATTAAAATATTTTAAAAATCAAAGCAAAGTTTTTTACACACAAAAGACTGAACTGAAATAGAAAACGTAAAGGAAAATGTATTTTAACCTTTACTATATTCAACTGTTGTTTGAGTAAAGAAACACTTATTTCAAAACATCATGCCAAAGTCATGTTTATCCTTGAAGTATCATATAAAATGCGCAATTGCTTGAAGAAATACAACCTGTGGAAAAGATAATCTAAAAACACTTAATTTTTTTTTCTCAAAATTCAAATTAGTTTATATATAAGTTGAAAGTATTTTTTTATGAAATTAAAATGAAAAACTTGGAGATAGATCTGAACAAAAATTTTAAATGGTGGGGGACAAATTCTCCTTGCCGTTTTTGTAAGACTAAATTTGTCTCCAACTCAAACCCTCACATGTTATAGTATCACAATCTATTATAGATCCATTAAAAGCTACCATATTATGTATGCATCAAAGTCTGATGAATGGTACTGATTGTGAAGCAATACATTGAGAAAGATATTATATTTTACATCAATAACAAGTAAGAGAAAGACTCTTTAAATGTAGTGAAATAGAAGGAACTGAGAAAAGGAAAAAAGAGAACAGAATTATATTGAAGAGAGTTATATATGCAGAAGAATATATATATATATACATATATAATATGTGTGTGTGTCATAACTTACTCTATTTCTTCTTTAGGGTATACAATTAATCCATTACCCTCTCCTAATTGCTGAGAAAAACATAAATACATAATGACATGATCTTGTCGAGATCACTTTACAGATTAATTTTCTTTGCAGGAATCCTAAGAAAGTAGCTAATAATTAATGTATGAACACGACACTAGGAATAATAAGCAACTTCAGTAAGTGCTTAGCGTAAGGGTAGCAATTAGACACAGAATAGTCTGAATTAGTGGCTGTGTCAAGACATTCATTCCTTTCAGACAGAAAAGAAAAATCTCAGGTGGTATCTTATATTCGTCATTAACTTCATAATTTAATTAGAAGATGCGCCACCTTACTTCTTTGGCGCTCAACAACCAATAAAAAAACAATGAAATAGGAGAAAAGAAGGTCAATACATTATCATTTTTTTCATTTTTAAGTAGAAGCTTAGACAGAAAGAATATTGGATTAAGATACAAATTCGACTTCAGAATCCACTCTCTTTAACCCAATCAAACAAGAAATCTTTAGTCTTGAGAAGTCCTTGTCATGTACTATTTTTTTCACAAGCTTTTGTTGCATCCTAGACATCTTAGTTGACCAGCTAGGTTGCACAAAATTACACACTTGAAGCTGATGCGATCTAGAAAAGAAAGTAAAAGAAGATACTGATTAAAAGAACACAATAATAAGAAAACAGTTCTGCGTAGAAGCTGTTACCAGGTAAAAGAGACAGGTAATAATCATAGTGAGTTGCAGGCAGTGTCATTCAGACAACATATCTGAAGAAGAACCTCTTTCCAGGGTGATGGTAACTATCCTGGCATGGTCATTTTCTTTTTCATAATCGATCATTTTCCAAGAAAATCATATTGAACCAATTAATGGGGGTTAGTGAGTGAATATTTTCCTTTACCCTCAAAGTTTAGTTCCTTTTTATTATAATAATAATGATAAAAGAAAAAAGCTTTGGTGAATTTACACTTAAGTTAAACAATTGGAAGAGCCAACATTGAGTAAGAGTCATATATACATTGGATGTAGCTCATCTCACTCTCACCCCTTCTACTCGACAAAACAAGAAAAGGAAAAGAAGTGAACTTTAGTTCGTAAATCTTTATCATTTAGCATTGTTTGGTTGATCACTTGCCAAAAGAACATATTGAAGGAGGATTGTCCTTCTCATGTCACGGACATGTCCAGCTAAAATATTATGCTTTGCTTCAATCATCATGAAAGAGAATGTGGGCAAAAGATAGTAAACAGTCGGATCGACCCCTTCAAGTGTGATGCTCAAAAAAAGAATTTGGGAAACCTCAAAACAAACCTATTAGCTAGCCTAGGAATAGGACTACCCCAAAGATTCCATTCTCAAGATTTAAGTGGCCTACTTCTTGATCTTTCTTTATATATTATTTGCTAGAGGGTCTACCCCTATCACTACCTAGGTCTCCCTAAAGAAAAATCCAGATCCCCAATGTGATAACTTATTTAAATCTGTCATCTTCCTCTTTGTCATCATTGGCTCTCCAGGAATGAAAAAACGATATTCTCATTTACAAAGAATAAAGGAATGGAGAGCTCTTAATCATCTATCATTAAACTTTTAATCTAAGATTTGCAAAAAAGGAAAAGCAGGATCATTATGATAAAGAAGTTGGACACGTAAAGTTAAAGAAATGTTTGTCCAAAGGTGAATATGATAGAAAGAAACATGATTTTGTGAAAGATAATGATTAAAGTACATCCAACTGAATAAACAGAAAAGCAAGAAGCAATAGTTGAGTGGTACGTATATATTATATAAACACTTCTACAACATCCACTGCTTAAAGGAGTAAAGTAACATTCACGATGTGATTTACATTCTGTGATCCAATAGATTTTATATTGTTTGATTCCAATTGGCGACTAAATCGGTTCCCCTGCTATACTAACTGCATGATAGGGCCATGAGTCCAATAATGAGAGGTAATCGTCTACCCTTATGTAAAATTGATGGTCAATGATCAGAAGGAAATATTTTGTTGGCTAGAGCACATTACTCTTGAATTTGATTGAATCATACAAACCATCTATCTATATTTGTATCATAAAAAAGTAAGATGTAGCTCCTTACAATGAGATCTTTCCAATGTGCACGTGTAGTCAATTCAATGGTCCTACTAGAGTTGAACCAAATCAAGGGGCAGCCCCTAAACCTAGAGTAGGATTGTGTGGCATTGACTATTCTTAATTCAAAAGATCTTGTTATTAATTTCAAAAGATATTTCAGAAATGAATCGGTTAATTGTCACACCAACTTGATTATAGCGAAGTAGACCTGAGATATTGTGGTCAATTACATGTGGTGGTGAGCATGGAATATTGCTAATGAAGGTGTGTAAACATAATGATAATTTGAGGGAAAGAGGGTGATTTTTTGGTAATTAAGATGTTAGATTAGCAGTTGAGGAATGTAGATTCTCATTTGTGGTTTATGTATCAGACAAGGACTAGATGACAGATTGGTCTGTGATGTGCAATCATCAAAGGGTGATTGAAGCCCACAAGAGGCAAAAAGAGAGAGCAAGTGGGCCATTTCAGTGTTTTATTTATTTTTCTTCTCTTTTCCTTATTTATTCTTTTAAAAGGAGGGGGAGGGTGGAGTTAAAAACTTGAAATGGGGAACGGAGAGGGTCTTGGGAAATCTTACAATAATAGAGTCACTTTACATTGCACTTGATTTGACCACACGGTCACCAAACAGATATTCTTAGATAATCCGTTTGCATTCATCTAGCAAATGCACAAAGCCATTGACAGAATTTTAGTGACCCCAAAACAGGTTGTTATTCCATGTGACTTTTGTTCGGTGTTTTATTACCAAAAGGGTCTTCTTAATCATTATCCTATGGATACTTCTAATTCACCATATCAAACATTTTTAATTACCTAAGTACAATGGATTTTTAAGTTTTATTTATTCATGATATAATAAATCCTGTTTTTAATTCTCATAAAAAGAAGGATGAGTACTTAAGCCGATTAACACATGTGGGGTCCCCCATAAGGCCAATTAACAATGATGAAATTGGTTTATTGTTTGCTTGACAAGATATATGAAATTTAAAGGAATGAGTTCTTTTAAGCATAGTAGATAAAATATGGCAATGACAGACACATTATGACAGAAAGTATGTATTATTGTAACATGGGGTTGTTCTACAACTACATGGCTGTCAAAGGAGGCAAAAATGAAGCAAGCCCCCAGGGAGAAGTAACAAGTATGAATGATAGTGGATTTGCTTTGAATAACAATTGGTAGGTAGGGGATTTTCTTACTTGGAGCAAAGTGGTCTACATATATGTATGTCTGTCCTATTGCCAAAATACGTACTACTATGCAGAAGAATGGGACCAGTCGTTTTCATGAATCCTGACCAAGAGAGCTTCTGCACAAAAGATCACTGCAATCAGATGGCTATAAGCATATACAATTCTGTCTCATTGTTAAAGGACATTTTGGTTATTGGTCTGATCGACCGCAACTGGTCATGGGGGCAGGAGGGGTGCATAATGGGACCCTACCCTTTGGTGCCTCTATCCATTTTCATGTGAATCGTATACAGTTTTAGCCAGCTCATTTATTGTCCCCAGTTCTCACTCACACACACCTCTAATATATATGACTCAAACAAATCAATGCTTTTGGAGTTTCCTGTTAGCCTTTGTTTGTTTGGAATCAAAGTTGTTAAGTGTGTTTTGGCTTGAGACAGATACATATGTATATAAATTAAAGTCATACATAAGAGCTAGGTAGTCCCGGCATTGCATTGGTTTTGCTTATTGCTATAAAATATTATATATATATATATATATATATATATATATATATATACACACACACATAGAAAGTTATCCATTTTGTTGCCTTACAGTGATGAAATTAAACTTAATTTTACATGTAAAATGGCACGAACAAGGATGAGTTTAAGTGAACTAAACTCCTTAGCACTTAATTACAGAATCTCTATCTATATCACATCAAGGAGCAATTCTCATAAAGGTAGCATCAATGTTTTGAGAAGAGTTGATACATGACAGTAACACATAGGCCTTAACACTTGACAAGCCATATTTCATTTCATAGAACTAATGAGGAGATTCCAAGCTGGAAATAGCCGGGTTTGGCGGATCCTGTCCTTTGAGAGAAGCCAGAGACACACATGGAGATGGGTGTTTGTTGCATTGCATATCTGAAGCTTTCTAGATTCTGAATGTCATAAAAAATCTCATCTAGTTTTCTTTTGAAGATTAACAAGGAGATTAAATGAAAAGAAACTACACTCATAAATGGAGAGAAAGGAATATATTGGGGAAAAATTACTTCAAGTAGTACATCTAAAGGTCCCCATCTCACTATTCATCTTGCCCCCTTCTAATATTGATTTTTCCCAAATCACTCACTACTTTCCTTAAAGAGAAACGAAGACGTTTAAATGAAAATGGGAATAATATCATAGAGATTAATGTTAAAAAATTTTAAGAAAAAAAAAAAGGAAAAAAATACTAGATATTATAAATCCCAACACAATGATAATGTTGAAGAAGCCTATTGGCTTCCCTAAGACCACTGAAGTAAGCTCCATGAGTTGTGGAATAATGAGTTCTGTGAGTTGCTTCCCCTGCAAACAAAATTTGAAGTGGAGATGAAGCAGAAGGCTGACAACTGCTATCTATTGGCAATGGCTCGGCCATTGTATCTAAATCATCACCACTTGACCCTACTGCAACATAACTGTATGAGCCTAAAAACAAGGGATCAGTTCCCCATTTGCTCTTCAAGACTTTACTGAACTTCACCTCATTTTGGTGAGATCTCTCATCAGAATTCACATTCCCATTGCACAATTTATGTGAACTGGAACCCTTTTGCCACTGAGAATGCTGTAGAAAGCACGAGACTGTGGATGAAACTCCATTTATGATCTCCTCATCTTTGAGTGACTCAAGTGCTAGTGCTTCTTCCCCCACAAACCAAGACAAGAGGACACTAGAATTGTTGTAGATGGGGAAAAGGGTGGCTGTCTTCCTCATCCACCAGGGTATTTTCTTTTGCCTCGTTTCAGATTGAGGTGAATGGAAAATCATTTGCAGGAAAGGGAACCCTTTGTTGGAGTCTTCATTTACATGTTCATGTTGATATTCATGTTTCCCTCCTCCATGTGTTGGACTTAATTGCATAAACAACTTGTTAACAACCCCAAAACCAAGCCTTGAAATTGCCTCTGTTTTGGACGGGGGGAGAGGAGGGTAGAACATACCTGAATCATCCCGAATAGCAGATTTTAACACTCCCAGTGAAACTGTGACAATGACATGATCAGCAGACATAACGGATCCATCACAAAAATGCAGCTTCACAGGCCTAGAAGAATAACAGCCATTCTCCACACCCTTCCTCTCATCAGGCTGCCACTCAATCCTCGTGACTTTTCTACCAAACTGAACCAAACCAGGTGGCAACGCAGAAGCTAAGGACTCAATTATGCTTAAGTACCCTTTAGCAATTGTGATTTCTTCACCTGGGAACATTATGTACTCACTTTCAGCACTATAATCCAGAGTCAAAAGGTCATCAGCTGATGTATAGGTCCTCTGGTTGTTCTCATGCATTGCAAAGATTGCTTCCTCAAGTAACTTCCTGCTCCAGTTCCCACACCCTTTGACCTCCTCTTGCTCCTTTGAAATCTGGTAAGCCTCAAGGCCTTGTCTAAGAAAAGAGCCAACACTAAGGCTGTTCCTAGACTTGTTGGAAGCAACCTTAGCAGCCAAAGCAGCCAGCTTGTAATAACTTTCAAGTTCACCCTTTGCAGTGGCTTCATTGAGCTTCCCTTGGGAGTATTCCATGAGGTTGTTGAAGAGCTTTGTAATGGGGTCAACAATGGAAGGGTGGAGATGGAAGCCACCTTCAGCAATGGTGATGGCCTCATCAGTGTTCCCATCCATGCACTCCCAAGGTTGGTCAGAGTGGAGTGAGTGGATTTCTTGAGCAATTTTGTGAATTGGACTGCCTCCAATTCCATGGATCCATGTAGCACCCATCTCAATACGGTCACCACCAAACTCTGAGGTGTTGATTCTGCCACCAATCCTGCTTCCACCCTCCACAACGCACAGCTCAAACAAGTCCTTCGAGGCAGTGGCAGTGTAGAGCTTGTTGGCAGCTGTGAGGCCTGCCATTCCAGCTCCAATTATCACAATCCGTGGCTTCTTCACCACCATTGTTACTTGAGACTACTCACAAGATTAGGAGATAGCTTTGCTTTACACTCTTTCACAACAGGGCAAAGGAAAACAACAAAACTAATCACACACGGGGAGAAATAAACAAGGCACAGAGTGGTACAACAACACAAGTGGTGTGAACTGTGAAGGTGAGATTTGAGTTACTGACAATGAATTTATAACTGGCCTCTCTGCTTCCTCACTGAATGGCCTTTTTCTTGCACTTTTTTTTTGAGGGGTGCAGTGACGCCAATCACTAACTTACTAGTGTAAATAAATAATTGTTATCACACTAATAATAATACCAGATATCTCTTGGAAGGAAATAAATATAATCCAAAGTCATACACAGAGAAATAGTAAATGTAAAAAATCTTGTGCAGTTTTCATGATGAGATAATATATGCAACCCAGGTTTTAAAATTCACCCAATGACCCACCCAATTTCAATCACAGCACAATAATTTTCTATATTATCAGATTGTAATAAAACTACAAATAGGACTGTCAGCACAATTTATAAACTTTATATGCAGTACATAATCTGAAGTGTAGTGACATCTTTTTAGTTTTTCACATTGTTGTTGTTTAGTACTATTTACTATTTACTAATCCCTCCTAATAAAGACAGGGGTCTACTTTTCCTCTAGCAAGCACACACACTACAACAACTACTACTACTAGAATTACAAGCAAATGCAAAATGGTTGAAAGTCACCCAAGTGTTACTTAAAATTTGACATTGGCATGGGTAGGTGTGTCCCACAGCCATAAATGCCCACGAGTGAGTAATAATTCAGAGACAGTCACTGAACACTGAGCTATAAGACTAATGTCTATGACTATAACCTATGCTATGGAGGGGGAAGGGGTTTACCAGAGGGGGGGAAAACAAAGGAAATTACACAACAGAACACAAACAACACAACACATGATGGCAAAAGCAATGAAAAAATGTGAACAGAATAAAATAAATAAGAAAGAAAGAAAAGGTTGATAGTGCCTTTCACCAACCTCACATGTAAATAGAGTTAGGAACGGCCCACCAACTGAACAAGTCAATGGTCCTGATCAAGCGATGGGCTGTCCTTAGATGAGTCTTAAGGAGGACACCGTACATACAAATCCACCCATTATAATCAAATTACTGCACACCCAAACACCACTCTCCCATTCCCATCACTCACTCTATTGTTCTTTTTCATATTCTCTACACTAACCCTTCTTCTCTTCTCCTCTTCTTCCCATTTCACACTAAACACTTGCTCAAATTTTTACCTCTAAGGTTAGAAAAAAGTTACCTGTTCTACATTTAATTGTGATGATGGTGCATAAGATTATGGGATTATTTCTTGGCAGTAAGCACACTTTGAATAATAATTGCAGGGTCAAAGAAAAACTTAGTATTAAATTTGAAGATAGATAAAAAAAAATATCTAGGCAAAGGAAAGGATGCGAGAAGCATCTTTGATATTTGTGTCAACGGCTTGCAGAGTTTATAATATAATTGCTATGAAAGAAGTGAGATAAAGCAGAAGAGAAGAGAAGAGAACAAAAAAGAACAGAACAGAGCACAGTGCATGAATCTTGGTAAGAAGTGATCAGAGAGCAACGTCAACATGATAATACCTACACATTATTTAATCAATTGCCCTTCCATTCTCCTTCACTTCCCCATCTTTATCTATTCTTCCCACTCTCATTCTACTCATCAAATAAATAAACATATCATTATTTTTTTTACGTTAAAATATTTATTCATTATAAATTTTACTTATATAAAAATAATCATTTAATCATGTAATATATAAGCTATAATATTTATTATTATTATTATTATATAGATGCATTAATAACCTTGTACACATATTTGTATTTTTTTTTTCACTTTAAATTTCATATAAAACATTTATCTATTTTCAAAGTTTAATTACAAAATTTTAAATATTTACTATTTACATTTTTGTTTATGTTCTATTGTCAATAAAATCATCTTCATCGAGCGAATAAATTATTAAATAATTTTAAAGTTTTTCATACATTAAAAACATGTGTTCATACACTAATTTTGTTATAGTTATTAATAAAAAGTAATTACCTTACTAATAATTTATATAATAAGGTGTCAAATTATTTGACTAAAAGTCTAATATCATAAATTTTAAAATTCAACCAGATCATTTTAATATTTTATGTTAAGTTTAATTGAATCGCAAAACGATAAAATTGGTGTCAAAACAATACAAATCTGATTATAATAAACAATAATTTAAATTTGTGTTCTTAAAGGTTAAAATTATTATTATTATTATTATTATTATTATTATTATTATTAAATATTTATATATACTGTTAAAATTTCAATGATATATAAATTTATTTAAAATTTTATATAATTTTTAAAATTAAGAACCTATAAAATTAATATTTTATTTTATTTTTATTTTTAATATTATTTTATGTGTTTTAATTATTAAAAAATTATTAATATAAGTTGGAGAAGATTAAAAATAATCCATTGAGTTTTAAAAACATTGTCAAATACTACTAATCTTCAAGTAGAAGTACATAATAACACTATTATTAGTTATTAACATTTCAATATAAAATTATCATTATGTCAAAAGCAACATAAACTTATCATTGACTTTAAATTATTTAAATACAAGTTTCAACATGTTTTAACTCCATATAATATACTGTCATAACTTTAATTTTAATAAAACATTATTAAAAAAATATCATTGTAGTTTTTTCATATTTTTTTTATTTTAGTATTGGTAATAGATCTATTTCTTTATTTTAGTTTTTCTAATTTATCTTTTTCGTAAGAATTTTTTTAAAATATTTTATTTATTTGGAGTCCGACAATCAAAATAAACCTTGATGGACGGCTCTAAAATTCCAAAATTATGAAATCGAATCAAGTAAAAATAAAATAAAATTATTCTTACTATTCAAAGACAATGAATTCATCAATCTATTTTATAAAATAATATTAATTAATTATATATATATATAATTATATCTAATATTAAAATTAATTTTATTAATAAAATTTAAATTTTAAAGTTTAAAATATATATTTTGTTTTAAACTTTAAATGAATTAAAGATTTTTTTCCCACTTAGCATTATTTTAACATAAATTTTCATATATACCATACTGTATATAATATTTACATGAGTAGCACATTTTTATAAAAAGTCAAACATTTCGAGATTTTTTTTCTTCACTAGCATCCTTTTAAAATTATAATTCGAAATAACATCATTCTATCAATATTTACCTCACTAGCACAATTTTTTTACACAGTTGGAATTCGATTCTTAGGAGGTCGAATTCCAACCTCACTAATTAATATAATTTTAAAAATAAAATAATATTTATTAAATATAATAATTAAATATATATATTTTATATAAAAATATATATATATATATATATATATATTTTTTAAATTATTCATATAATTATATTATTAATATATTTTTATAAATATAGTAAATCCAAATATATTTAATATATATATATAATATTTAAATATTTATTTATATTTTTATAAATATCATAAAATATAATAAATATATATTTATATCTTTCTATATAACATTTTTACATAAATAAATTATATATATTATTTAAATATATTTTTAATAAAAAATAATTTTAATAAGTAAAATAATATTTTTTTATAGAAATATATTTTTACTATATTTATAAAAATATATTAATAATATAATTATATAAATATATTTTTATGTTATTTTAAAAAATATATTTATATTTATTTCATATAATTATATAAATAAATTTAAAATATATATATATATATATATATATATAATATTTATATATTTATTTTATATAAAATATATATTTTTATATTTAATTATTATATTTAATAAATATTATTTTATTTTAAAAATTATATTAATTAGAGAAGTCAGAATTCGGTCTCCTGGTAACTAAATTTCAATCGTGTATGTAAGAATGATGCTAGTTATGTAAATATTGATAGAATGATATTATTTCTGAATTATAAATTTAATAGCATGTTAGTGAAGTAAATATTGATAGAATGATGTTATTTCTGAATTATAAATTTAATAACATGCTACTAACGAACAAAAATCTGAATTAAATCCAAAACACAAAACATGAAAACTAAAGATTGTAATCATGTTATTATAAGATATATTATAAAGCTTATTTATTGATTTGTATCTTCACGTTCATGTTTATTGTTAATCCTAATTTCGTTTAAAACATATATAAATTATATAAAAGTAATGTTTTAAGATTTTGAATAAAATATAATTTTATATTATTAATTTTTAGGCAATTATATGCTAAACATTTTCTCTGGATCTTTGATTGATTAGAGAGGGAAGATATGGTTGGAATTGGACACTACCCCACTCTTTTTTGCCCCCTTGTACTACCCAAGTAAAGACACTGTCCTACTTAGGGGCAACTCATCCAACCATGTATGAAATGAAATCATAATCAATCACATACACAAATCTTCAATAAAATCAATAAACTTCCTTCATTGTACACACTAATTCTTAATTATTGAATCAGATTCTTACCATTAACCTTTTCTTAATCAGAGATTATTATGCACCATTATCAAACATTTTCTGTGCATTGGAGCTTGAATCCAAAGGGTACTTCATTTTTTTATCCAAGCAAAAAGGTACTAAAGTTTCAGGGTATCACGTGTCTACTGAAGATTTACATGCTTAATTTATTTCTTTTTTTACTTGATTGTGTGAAATGCTCAAAATAACTTTGCTCTGATCTGGGTATAACTTTACTGTATTTCATAATCACTTAATTAATTCTCTGGTGTAAAAGTGAAAAGGCTTTGTTTTCACTTATTATTCTCTTCAACTAAACATTAAAAATAAAACAAAAACTTCTATTTTCATGTTTGTTTAAACATTTCTTAGATTAAGGTAGCTATAATTGACCAATAATTTCTAATTTGA